TTGAACGCGAACTGGTAAGCAGTTTGCGTTCTTTTGAAAAGAACTGGTTACCAGTTCAGTTCTTGTTGAACGGGAACTGGTACCAGTTCGCGTTCAAAAGAACTGAACTGGAACTGTCCCACCCCTAATCGTACTTGAATGAAGGCTCCGAAACGATCTTTCTGGTTTCTTACTGAAGAGCTGACATTTTGTATATGAATTTATTTTAGAACATGATTACCAGCTAACTATATCTCTCTCTATTTTATATCAAGATCATGCTTTATCGATACTCCGCGTTTAGACAAAAAAAGAATTTTTCTTACATGTTCCCTCTCACAATCATTTTATGCATTATTTATGCTTTTTTTTGTGTCGATCGTATGCGCTATGTATGCCTTGAATCTCTACTTGTCGATTAGGTTCCATTTGTCTACGATGCTCCCGTGTAGTCTGTTATTGTTCATTCAACTGTTTTACATTTAGCGTTAGATGTATTTAGCGATGTATTATGGCAGCCCATTCTTGTAATATTATAAACTATCAATATATATATTTTCTTCTATGATATATCAATATTTATTAAAGTATTATGCTATTGATAGAAACTTTATATTTTTCGTCATTTTCTATGGATACATTCAATTGAATTCAAGTATTCTACAAGATTTTCAAATACTGTACAATCATTAATAGAACTTCACGCACGAGGCGTCTAAGACATTTCTTTTTTATTTGTATATTTTTTCCAGATAATGTAGTGGTATACTCATATTATCGATAAAATCTAACATATTTTGAACCAGTGTAATATTTGTCGTATATGTATCACTCCGCAATATATAAGATTAAATAGTGGGATCATGCCAGGTCGTTTATGATATCGCCAAGTGTATGTTTATTGAAAAGAAATTTTATTAAGCTCATATTCTTTTTTATTGTTATTATCAAACATTTTAAACAGTGAGTGCAATAAGGCTTCATTTCTATCGGTAGAAAAAAATCTTTCTGCAAAATTCTATCAATCATTTACCCGATAACTTTGCACAATGTATTTTCATATTGATTCAATGGTCGAGAAACAAAAGCTGAACAAAACAGCTTATTCTACTGTCGTAAAGATTGAAAGCTGAAGTCACAAATTTCAAATTATTAAAAAATTTCTTGATTTTAAAACGCTTGATTTTCGAAGAAAATTAAAACTTTTGAACTCATGCCAACTTTGACCAAAGATTTTTACCTCTCATTCTGTAGACCAGTCAATTCTAGACAAGACAGATTCATTTTGAGAACTTTCACAGAGCAGAATGGCTAAATTTGAGAAACACAAACCTTTTCTCCACAACTTTCGTTCGTCATAAAAAACGTCGATTTGAGAGACTAGAGTCAGCAAAGAGAATTTCATTCGCTGAGACGTTTTCGGAAGTTCCCCAAATGAACTACGGACTAACTTTTGGCCAAAACTATTTTCCTTGCGCTTTTTTGAAAATACTTTGATTTCTGTCATATTTTCTTACTACTTTTCGCGCTTATGACATTCAGAAGTGTTTTACCGTCCGCAGTTATAAGGACTTATGCTGGTGACCAGAGAAAAAATAAATACAGTTCGACTCATTCCAAAGCTTTCCGTTTTGAAAACTTTGCTCCCTATCCGACGCAGGAAAGGACCAGTGTTGTATCTCATAGGGCGTGGGAAGTTGGACAGGTAGCACATTTTTCATGAGACGAGGTGACGTTTAGTGATAAAAGACATGAAATAAAGTGTGAGAAAGAACTTCATGTTAATGTTCCTTTCAGAATACTATGTTCTTTCTGTCATATTCATTTATGTTAGTACATGATAGTCTAACTTTAAGTGGGTATTAATGAGTGTTTATTTTTAAAGTTGACAATTAAGACATATAATTATCATCTACATATAATCTATATCGACACCACAATCGCTTAGGTGTTTTTACTAAATGTACTACCCGATGTGTATATGTTCCATAACATGATACTATTACGTCGTTGACAACTAAATTGCCTTCGTTTGTCAACGGTGCATAGGCATCATAGGCAAGAGTACGTTTGACTTCTATTACAGGTACGTGTTTAACTGTCATATTATTCCTAATGGTATAGATGTTATCGCCATTATAAACATCTTTAGCAAAGAAAAAATTTTCCACCGAAGAATTTTGTTTCTTAACTAGTAATGAGTGTGTCGATGTAATACGTAATGGTGCCTGATTACCAGCTGTATGAATATCTAAATACGGTATTGGCTTATTTGGATTATACTCCTGATATATATCAATAGCTAAGATAGGACTCCATGTTAATCTTAATTTGTTATCAGCATCATAATAGGAAACGAGAACATGGTCACCCACGTTTAGATTACGCATTAATGTTCTTTGTCCATTTTGTTGTATAACAAATGTATCGCCAGTAAAACATTTTTCTATAAAAAAGTTATAAAAAATGTAAGAAGAAATCTCTATGCGTTTTGAGGTTACGGGAAGAGAGATCAAGTTAGAGAAACAATAATAATGACAGAAGAAAGACATTACCTTCCTTTGACGGTAGTTGTGTTGTTGCCGTAGTGGTAGTCGTTGTGGTTGTTGCTAAAATACATGGAAAAACTTTGAATGATGTTGAGCTCTAATCGGCTGCCTGTGAGGGTGAGGCTGAAGGTGGCTGTCTAAATAAAATAGAATCTTAAATTTTTCTGCTCACTTGTTGTTGTTGAGGTTGTTGTTTTTGATGTCGTTGTCGACGTCGTAGTCGACGTCGTAGTCGATGTTGACGTTGTTGTCGATGTTGATGTCGTAGTCGACGTCGTAGTCGATGTTGACGTCGTTGTCGATGTTGATGTCGTTGTCGATGTTGACGTTGTTGTCGATGTTGATGTCGTAGTCGACGTCGTAGTCGATGTTGACGTCGTTGTCGATGTTGATGTCGTTGTCGACGTCGTGGTAGATGTTGATGTCGTTATGGTAACTGTGGTTGTGTTTGATGGCGTAATAATGATCGTAACAACAGATATACTCGACCTGCTGTTACCATTAAGTGCTACCCCAAGAACTATTACAATAACTATAATAGTAACAGCGACAACTATTACATAAAGGATAAGACCTTTTGGTAATGGGTCTGGTAGGTTTTGTTGTTGTAGATTTTGTGGCTGTACACCATTCTGTCCCCACAGATTACCCATGAGCTATTTTATAGTGTCTACATAAAAGAAAGAGAAACTGATTGATCTTATGCATATTATTACTCATTTTTTGCAAATATTCAGTAAAAACATATTTCGTCATAATACAAAGTAACTTCATGATCGATAGATGTTACGAAATATGTTAAGATATGTTGTACAACATATCTTTTCATATTTTAAAAATTACATCAGTTGAAAAAGCCCTGTTATTTGTTTTTCAATGACGGTCGAGATGTATAGTTACCGTATATGAAGTTATTGGTGCTTTTTATATTATTAAATACGTAGATTATAGTTAATGTAATTATTCGTTCGAATGCATACACTTCCTGTTTTGACTTGTGTTATTATCGTTCCTTTCTTCTTCTGTTCGGTTGAGTCTAATCAAATACAGCAGAATTTTTTTTCCTTCTAAAACTCGTAGGCTTTCTTATACTGCTGTGAATAGCGAACGCTGACGCCATTGACTTTTCTAGACACTAGCTAAAACGGTTTGTAATATACTAAAAGAAAATTGCCGGTAGACTACCGTGAAAACTGGTTAAATTCCTCTCATCGGGTCCGCATTAGCGCAAAACCGACTTTTTATACGGGGAACAGAATCGGTCCAAATTTTTTTTCTGAAGAGCTTATTATGTGAATCGACTGGCAGCAAAGTGTCTCTTGATTCAAATCACTGTTCGCATTTTGGCGCGAATAGTGGCGCCACTTAAAGCGCGTTACTATTCGCGCCAAAATGTGAAAAGTGATTTGAATCAAGAGATACTTTGCTGCCCGTCGAT